GCGGCACGCAGCCCGTAACACCCGCCCCTCCCTCCCTCGCTCTCCCCCTCTCTGAGCCACCCTGCCCACCCCATCCAGCCCCCACCTTGTACCCGTCCTCGGGGCCGGGCAGCAGCGCATCCAGCTCCTCATCCGACAGCGGCCTGTTGCGCGCCTCCATCTCCCGCTCCACCTTGGCCGCATGGTACTGCTCCGGCGTCATCGGCACCGCGCCGCCCAGCACCGCCGGCGTCTCCAGCCCCGCCGCGCCGCCCGGCGTGAACGCGGGCGTCGCGCCGAACGCGCCGCCAATGGCGGGCGTCGCGCCGAAGGCGGCGGCGCCGCCGCCGGGCGCCGCGGGCGTCTCGTCCCAGCGGGAGCGCTTCTTCGCGCCGTCCGCGCCGACGGCCGGCGTCTCGCCGCCCCACGCGGGCGTCGCGCCGCCGTCGACCTTCGGCGTCTCGTCCCACCGGTTGCGCCGGGCGCCCGCCGCCGCGCCCGTCGAGGGCCCGGGGGTGGCGTCCCATCTGCTGCCGCTGCTGCTCGCCGGCCCGGGCGTCGCGTCCCACTTGCTGCCGCCGGCGGGGCCGGGCGTGGCGCCCCACTGGCTGGGCGCCGCGGGAGTGGCCTCGACGCCGCCGTCCGCATCCCAATCCGACTTTGGCCGCTTGCTGCTGGGGCGAAAGGGGGGGGGCGCGGGTGAGAAGGCGTTGCATTGCACGCATGAGGGCAGCATATTCCCACACGGTTGCACACCAGACGTTCCAGGCAGCCGGTTGCTGTAATGCCAAGCACCATGGCCACAAAGCCGTCCTTCAGTATGACCCGCATGGCTCGGCCGCCACCCCGCTGCCACTCACGCTTCGCCGTTTTGCCCCGCGTCCCATCTGTTCTTCCGCTTCAGCCCCGCAGCATCCGCCGCCGCCGCCGCCGCTGCCTGCGCGGCCGCCCCCGCCGCCGCGCTGCCGCCCGCCGCCGCCGCCGCCTCAGCCGCCTCGGCCTCCGCCTTCTTCTTGGCCTCGATGTTTCGCAGCGTATTGTCGCGCTCCCGCGCGAGCGCCGCCTCGCGCATGATGTCGCCGTACGTGCGCACGCGCGCGTCGGGCGTCTTGTCGCCCATGACAAATGCGTCGTTGCGCTCGGGCGACAGCGCGCGGTTGAGGCGGCGGCGCCGGTAGTCATCCTCTCTATCGATGATGCGCTTGGTGCGCATGAAGCCGTCAGGCTGCGAGAGCAGGGCGGGGTTTGGGGCAGATGTGAAAGGGGAGGGGGTGGGGAGGGCGCGACGGGACGACGCGAGAGTGCCGGCGAGGGAGCAGGCTCCAGGTGATGCGCGCCATCCGTGTGCAGTGGACATTAGCTGCAAGTTGCTTGCTCGCCGGTTGCTAGATTTTCTGCTGCTGCTGCTGCTGCTCGCTTTCCACTGCTGCTGTCGCCGCCTGCTGTTGTGGGCTCTCCCGGAAAAAGGGCAGCTTCCGACATGGCGCTACTGCAATGCAGCCGCCCCTACAACTCACCTCGCCATCCTCCCCCTCGGCCTCGGGGTCAGCGATATTGTGCTTCAGCGCGGCCAGAGACGCGGCACTGCATGCGTGCGGGTGAAGGGTGCAGGCGCGGGAACGGATAGCATGCATGGGTGGGAAAGGAGCGGCGCGCGCGCGCATGCCACTCACTCCAACCGGCCGTGGGCGCGATCGACCGCAAGCGTATGGGTTGCCAGCAGTGCATGGGTGACGGCACCAAAGGGACTTTCATGCATGTGAGGACCAGGCAAGCTGCTGGCAGGCATCAGGGGACCAGGCCAGCAACATAGCGACGGGTGCAGCGGCTGCGGCGGGCTTCTGCTGCTGCGACTTGCCGCACCTGGGGCCGCCGATGCCTGGCCGTGGCTCCTCCTCGTCCTCCTCTTCGTCCATAGGTATGGTGGTTGCATAACCAGCATATTTATCGCCCCCAGCCGCGTACAGCTCGGAGTCGTGGCCATTCTGAGCCATCGCTGCCGCTGCCTAGCACGAGCCGCCAAGGGCCGTCCTAAGGGCCGCGGCGGCCCCGCTGGAACCGCTCACTGAGACGTCTGGGTGTGAGCGCACACACAGTGATCGGAAGGGTGGGTATCGGTGAAGCTTGATCTGACGGGCTGTAAAGCTTGCAACCAGATGTGCGAAGACGTGTTGCGTGAAACCCCGCGCCTTGAGTTGTGCTGGCTGAAGGCAGCAGCTGCGGGGAAGGCGCCTTTAGATCGCTACCGTACGCAGGCTGCAGGCGTCATCGTATCCCGACTGAGGTCGCCTTGTGCAAGGTGAGAAATAATATGCACTCTAGCAGGCCAGGTGCAAGGCTGTGTGACCGCCCAGGTCGCTCCCACAGCGTTGTGTGTGCGCTGTCCCGCCAGGCACGCTTTGCACTACTTTGCTCGCATCTGTGAGAGCCGTCCTGCATGTAGATAACTGGATGTGCATAATGGGTACGTGTGGACATGGCAGGCCGCAGCTAAGCATCTAGGTTACCGCGCGGGCCTGTCGTTGCCCGCCGTCTCATCCCTCGATCCCTTGCATGTGGGCTCGACCAACTAGGTAGCAGAGATGCTGACATGTACTATGTGGGAAGGATGAATGCATGGAGCGAGCGTGATTAACGGCGGTTGGCAGCCACTTGGTGGCTGTGGTAGCGGAGTATGTTGTGTTGAGGCATTTAAGCCGCATGCTGCAGCATCCGCATGCCACAATGCGCCTGTTCCTGGTATTGTACGCGCATTTCTCCATCGAGGCCAGACTGAAAGTAGACATTTCGCTGCAGGTGTGTCCTATCGCAGAACAGCGACACACCAACGCTCCTCAAGGGCATGTATATCAGTGAGTGGGCCGTCATTCCTGATGAGTCAATCAGGCGGTGACTCCTTGCATCTCCTATCAATAATTCCCCTGCGTTGTGCCCGCCGCCATGTGCGTAGCGGCGCACGCTTCATATTCAAGGTGTTCTGGGTGATGATCACAGTGAAGGGAGTGCAGTTGCGGTCAGCCGCCGACACTCCTGATATGCTGCCACCCCCGGAGGAAGCGACGGAGCAGAAGGTGACGCGGCAGGCTGGTGCTCACAATCGTCACGTCTGAAGACACATTGCACTGACTAACCTGGCAGGTTGGATGCAGTGTTTCCTGCTATTCTGGGAACCACCAGGACCCCAAAATTGGGCATGCCACTGCCGTGTTGTGCAGATACGCTGCCATCGTGTCCAACTGCCTGTACTTGTGGCAAACATGGCTTACAAGAGCCTGTCCGTCCGATCATCAGTGCAACTTCCCACGTCTGCAGCTGCGAGCGTAATCAAGGTGCCTTCGTGATCGCCACTGCAGGAGCCACATGCCCTTATGCAGTCGCTGTTAACCCATGCTGAGGGCGCTGTATCACTACACTGGCACTGCATTCGCTCGTGCCTTCAAATTGCGTACGATGCCCCCCCATAGTAGCACAACGGCAAGGCCACCCTGCACAGGCTGATGTTGCGTACAGGCTGCCATTGATACTTCTGTCTGCACCCGTGTCATGCCTTGACCTGATGCAGAGCGACGAGCCTGAAACAACCAGCCAGCCACGGTGATTTACACCAGAGAAGGCCAGCGTCGCCTCCTACTTGTGGCCAGCCGCCTTCTGCTCGGCAGCCTCCTTCTTCTGCTGCTTGCGCATGTAGCTGGCCAGCTCCTCCCTCTTCCGCTTCCCGCGCAGGTGGGTGCCAAGCTGCGGGATCCACGGGTTAGACAGTAGTATCGTGTCAGGCGTGGGATCCATGCCGCCTCAGCGCGCATGCCGTGTTTGTGGCGTTGTGACTGCGCGAGACGCATGCACACTGCCCTGGCTATGTGCCCTTTGCCAAACAGCCAGCATTCAGGCAACCGCGCAGGCAGCAGCAGGCATCAAGCACCGCGACGGACGCGGCCGCGCCCCGGCTGTCGCACGCCAGCACCGCCGCACCTTCTTCTTGGCCACCTTCAGGGCACGCTTATCCTTGCCAACCTTAAGCAGCTCCACCACGCGCTTCTCATAGGGAGCCAGGCCCGCAACATCACGGATGATTTCCCTGACCTCCTTTACCTTCTTGCCCAGGTACTGTGCAAGCGCGAAGAAACACAAAAGGTTGGCATGGCATCATTGACGCTTGAAGCCAACATCTGAGCACGACCCGCCAGGGTCGCGGGCTCCACCCCCGCACTGCAGCAGCACGAGCAGGCACAGTGCAAAAGCCGCCGGGGTGCTCACCCCCTTCCGCCTGGACGGACGCAGAGCAGTGGTGCGGGGAGTCACGACATGTCCCTTGTTCAAGCCTGCCGCGAGGCCCGACTTCGCCATCGCCGCTGCACCAGATCGAGCAGTAGTGCCCCTGACCTCTAATAATATGGCCTTTGAAGGCTTCGCAGAAAGAGGGCCACTTCAGGCAGGGCGGCCGTGTTAACCGCGTCACGCCCAGTGGGGCGCACCCGGCAGCGGGGCAGGCATGCATGCTAGGCCAACAACGTCGCTGGCCTGCTGTGCCGAAACTGCTGGCAAAAACAATAGCGGCTCGTTAATCTGTGATGCTGCAAATAGGGCCCGCTTGTGTGTGCAAATGCATGCGCATGGGTGTGAGCGTGTGTGTGTGAACGCACGTGTTCGAACGCGCTTGATTGCTTGTGGTCCTTGCCAAGGGTGTTGCATCTGTGGTGTGCGTGTTTGCGCCAGGAGTGAGTCCTGGCTTCAACAACAGTCTTGACAAGGTGGCGTTACGCAGACCTTAAACCTGTGATGCGATGCAAAACTACGCAAGCCTGACTCCTGGAGCATCTCATTGTGGCACCAGACCATGGCTACGGCGTGCACTCCTCATGAAGTTGCGCCGGCGCTGCTGTTATGGGTGCACTGTCGCACAGCTGGAATCCTGGCTGCGGGACTAATCCAGGGTCGTCAGCCGCATTGCCTGCATCCCCTCTGCTACGAGCTGCGGAGCTCGCCAGCTGCTCTTGACCACTCAAGGACTGTGGCCAGCGCTCATGAGCGGTGTAAGCCCGGGCATATCAGATGCACTGTGAAATTCACAGTGCTTGAACAGCAACCGTTTGCCTGAGAATGGAAGCACGTTACAGACGCTCCTGGGCAGGGCGAAAGAAATAGACCGAACCAAGGTGTGATGGAAATGCTAGCCGTGCCTATAAGCAGAATCGTCCCTGTTGGCCTGCAGAGGTTGGGAGCAAGGTAACCGCTGGAGGGGGCAATGCAGCGCACTGCACAAAGCACGAGTTTATGAGAAAGTTTGGCGTGGAGATTGAGGCGCTGCCAGGAGAGGGAAGTGAAACCGACAGCAGTGCTCGCTGCATGCATGGCTAGGAAAGTGGAGGGTGATCCCAGGTAAAGGAAGGCGTTAGTGTAGCGGGTGCTGGCCAGTGGCGTGGGTTTGCCATAAAGACAAGGCGTTCCAAGATTTTAGGATCAGCCTCATTCCACGTCAGCGCAGGCCGCAATGTTGGCGAGTCAGATTGGCAAGGGGCATGCAAAGGCATAGAGGTTGTGGGTGTTGCAAGGCCAACACAAACAACAACAGGCAGGTCACACATGCAGCAAAGCTGGATTCTCAGGTGTTTGCAAATTGTATCCTAGCATGCAGCCACCGCCTTGCGCACTGTCTGGTCAGGACAACAGAGGCGCGATGAGATGCGCGCCAACGCCGCTGCGGCCTTGGCGGCGATAGATGGCGGCGGCCAGCTCAGACTTGGGGGCGGCGGGGCCTGCGGTGCAGCGCTTGGCCGCCTTGGCCACGCTGGGAGCCTTGGGTGCCTTGGGGGTGGGCGCGGCCCCGCGCAGCAGAGGGCTCGCAATCTTACTGGCCAGCTGGAGTTTCTTTGCGTTGTCACCAGGGGCATCTGGGACATCTGCAGGCTTGGCCGCGACAGGCTGGGGGTGGTCGGTTTTTTTGACGACGGTCACCAGCACTGCGGCGTCGTCCTCGGAGGGCTGGCTGAAACTGGGGACGGCGTCCAAGCAGCATGCGTAGGGGCGGCCAATGTCGGCCAGGTTGACAAGCGACGGCCACGACTGCACTGACGCGAAAGATTGGACGATGCTGGACGCGGAGGCGTACTCTGAGGTGATGTCGCTGCAGGAGTCGGCAGGCGTGCTGCCGCGGCAGGCCTTCCTGGTGAGGGCTGCCGCCATCCGACCCTTGAAGGCCGTGCGGAGGGCAGACGCCTTGGTGGCAACAGCGGTGGCAGTGAGGGGCGCCGTGACGGCGTTTCCCGCCGCGGCACACCTCTTGATGTCAGTGGTGGTGCTGTTGGACCAGCGGGCCGTGGGCGCCTTGGAGCGGCTGCTGCTAGGGGCCCCAATGGCCTTGGAGCTTGCACTGGCCATATGGGGCTCAGGCGTGGGCTTGGAAGTGATGGCGGCCTTGGTGCCGACGGTGGGGGCCGACGCTAACAGAGATCTGGGCAGCTTCCCCATCGTCATGTTGGACAGGGAAAAGAGGGCGCGCGCCGCACGTCCAGCTCCCTTGAGCCATTCGGGCTTGACAAACGTGCCAGCGGCGGCGGCACTGCGCACTGCATCGCAGGTGGCGGCAGCGCCGGGCTGTGCTGCGGGCAGGGGCTCGGCGGCCTCTGCAATGGCGGCTCCCGTCGTCCAGCTCTGTGGGTGGTTGCCGGCGTCCTTGCGGCCCTTCTTGAGGGCGGAGAGCATGGTGGCGGAGGAGGCCTGCAGGGCTTCAAGGAGAGCGACAACATGCGCCATCATCTGTGTTTAGGGGAGAAGAGGAGCGGGGCGGAGGGGCACGGGATGGGCACGGGCGTGGTGTGGTGCAGTCCAGCAGAATGGAACACCAGCAAAGGGGCCCTGGCAGCGGCCACAGCAGAGCCGCCGGCAACCATGTGTGCCATCAGACCAACCCAAGCTCCATGATTCATGCTTGGCTGCACGAACAGAGCGTCTCACCGCAATGCCCTTTAGCGCCATTGTGCGTGGCGGCGGTGGCTGCCGTGCGCAAGCGGTACCGCACAGCAACGCGCAAGGGTGTGCAGGTCATTCAGCGCCGTGTTGATGAGGGATCGCACCAAACATTCCGTTGCATGACACATGTACAAAAAAACCATCTCACACATGCACGTGTGAGGCAGGCGCTCCCGCGAGGGGGGGCAGTTTCGCGAATGCATAGCTTTTGCCGTAGGTCCAACCAGAGACCAGCTTGCAGCCAGGATGACCTCCGTACCTGATTATGAGTAGCTTAAGATGAGATGACATGCTCGCGCTAAGCGCAGGGCGTCCGATTCCGTCTCCAGTGCCGGAGGGTTGCTGTGGCCCCTGTCCGGGCTTGAAAAGGCACAGTAGCGCGTAACAAAATTAAACAGTACGATATATAAGTTCTTTATGAACGTATCAGGCCACTTGACGACCATAAGGGGGTGCAACAATGTGGATGTGCCCCGAGGACTGCCAGTGCCGGCCGAGCTTGTAGTCAGGCACCCCAGTCTGAGCCCACCTGCAACCTGCCCCTTCAAATTCCAGAGCTTCAGCTGCGTAAAATGCACGGCAGGCCTGCACGTCACTACTACTAATCCGGACCCCGAGCAGCAGCAATCGTCAGTGGCACAATGGAGACAGCGAGTGCACCACTGCTGCAACAACTTGCAGGGGCTGGCATTGGGAAGATAGGGAGCTCCCTGACACCTCGCCGGAAAGTTGTTGGGGACCCAAATTGTATCTAATCCAGGAGAGGAAAGGATGCTGGCTGTATTGTCTGAGGTGATGCTGTCGCCTCCGCCACCGACCGTTGATGCCGCAGCTTCTGCTGCTGCTGTTGCTGCTTCTGTTTCTGCTGCTGCTGCTGCTGCTGCTGCTGCTGCTGCTGCTGCTGCTGCCGTGGCGTGTGTGCACAGGCTTCCTGCTGATTCATGTTTCTGTTTTGCACCAAGTTGTCCCATTGTGTTTTGCTCTTGTGCCTGGGGGTGATCAAACCAGCGACAGTCTATCAGCAGCGTGCGCTAGGCGCCTGGCACCGACAGCTTTGAGAGCCGGGGGGTGTGGCGGGCCCGCTGGTACGAAGATTGGGAGCGCCATGTGTCAAACTGCTGTTGAAGGTTGATTTTCTTGATCTGTTTACCAGGGCCTTTGCTGCTTGCGTTGCGGGGCCGCCCACACCCATGAACCCACAACGCATTTTGCATGATTCGCCAGCGAGGGCGCAACTTGCACCCCTGCACTCATCGATGCGTGGCTGCCCTGCGCCATGCCCCAGGCGACGCCTCGACTTGTGACTGTCGTGCATTTCCCAACACTTTTTATTTACCCCCTATTTTTGAGGGCAAGTGCTGCGCAGCATCCATGGTGCTGCCAGGCTGACTGCAGTGCTTGCGCATCTGACAATCCCCTACTCCCAGATTGAACAGGCGTCAACGACAGACAGCGAGACAACTCACCGACCTCACATGCGCCTGCAGACTTGTAACGGACGGGCCCCACACGCTGATGCGTCCGCGTTTTGAGGGTTTGCGGCACCGAGGCCTGGTGGTGGCCTGGCATTTTCCTCAGTCAGCTTTGTTTAAGGCACGCAGGTCTCCCCTTGATTGGCGCGGTGGCGGCCAGAGCTGGCGTATGCTGAGAGAAGTGTGCTTGATTGATACAAACGCGCTGCCGAGCTGACCCTTGCAAACTCAGCACACGCTCTCCGGCATTGAAGCCCTTCGCTCCACAGCATGCACAGTGGCCAGCAAGAGCATGCACAGCAGTAGTCCGCTCGTTCAAGACAACTCAGTTGCATGCGCAATGGACAACATCGATTTCATGCAATGACTACACAATCGGATGCCTGGTGCCTATTGAGTCGGCATTACACCATAAAACAGATGGCGGAATGGGCATCAGGCAGAAGCAAAAGCGCAGCAGGCGCACAGTTGACACTGCTCACCCACCCTTCCCATGCCGCGCATCACTTCTGCCCAGAGTTTAGCAAGACGTGACTTTCTTCTGCCGCAGGCTGGCACTCCCTTCCACCTGATTTGCAGACACGCTCACGAGACCAGACTCTCATTGTTGTAGATCAACGCGCGTGCTCCTGTGCTTGTCTTGTGCGCTTGTTTCGCCTCATGAATTCGTCTTTCTTCCGTGGTCACGGGCCGAGCTTGGTCTGACCTCCACCCCAGCACTGCCATCACCTGGAGGGCCCCAGCTCCCACTAGACGCAGTGTCGGGCTCCAGATGGCCTTCTGGAGGGTGGCGGGCTTCGCTCAGCCGTCTCCCATTGAGGTGGGTGTGGTGAGCAGCGTAGCTTTGAGTAGTTGCAGACCTGCAGCTGATCTGGGTGTCCCTTCATGGTGCTGTGCCCACAGCAAATTCTTGACAAGGAGGAGTACACACTGGAGGAGTTGTTAGACGAAGATGACATTATTCAGGAGTGCAAGTCTCTCAACGGGCGCCTTATTGCGTTGTGAGCACCAGTGGCGCCTCATCGCGCTGTACTGCTGTGTTTGTGCTGCTGCGGCAAGAAAGCCCAACTCATGGGCAGCAGCGGTGCAAAGCGGGATCTTGTCAACACAACAACAAACGGTGCTGCGGGGCTGGTGTTGCAGCGAGGCCAGCATTTGCTGCCAACGTGTCCGGCGAGTCAGGCGGTCCCCCCTCTCACGGCGTTGTCCTCAGCCGCCGCCTCCTTGCTCTCCCCTGCGCGCAGCCTGCGGGAAAAGGAGGTTGTGGAGCAGCTGCTGCGGTGCGCGGTTGGGGGCTACCAATGTGCTGTTCAGCAGGGGCCAGCCGTGAGGGCAGCCAACGTCACACAGCGCGGGGACTGCGCATGGGACGGAGCGCAGGCACTTCCATCGTCTACCTTTTCAGTCGAAGGCGCCCCATGCATGTATGCCAGTGCAGTGACTGCGTTTTTCCCAGTGCTATGGCGGGAAAAAGTGTCCACAAATGCCCGATTGATTGCACATGCCTGCAGGTACCTAGTGCAGCCGCCCAGCGACCCAGATGACCCGAAGAAGCAGTACAAGTGAGCCATCGGGCACGGTAGATCGGGGGATGCGCAAGCGGACGGCCTCTCAAACGTCAGCTGCCGCGGCTAGCGTCGCAGCAGGGGAATGCAATGGCAAGCAGCAGCCCCAACACGGCGCGTAGCAATCCCGCGGCTGCCCGTTAACGCCCCGCCCTGCCGTGCGCTCCAGCCTGAGCCCACTCCCGTGTGGCCCCCGCGCCCTTCCCCCCTTTTACCCCGCCAGGTACCCCTTCACCGCGTGCGAGGTGTTCTGCTGCGAGGTGGAGGCCGTTTTCAACACGCTGCTCGAGGACGAGGCGCTGCTGGGCCTGCTCTTCTCGCTGGTGGACGCCGAGCCGCCGCTCAGCTGCAAGGCCGCCGGCTACTTCGGCCGCGTCGTGGGGCAGCTGCTGGTGCGCAAGCCCAACGAGATGATGCAGTACCTGTCGAACCACGACGAGCTGCTGGGCAAGCTGGTGCGCCACCTCGACGTGACGTCAATCGCTGACGTCATCAAGCGGCTCGCCGGCGCCGACGACCAGAGCGCGATGGTGTTCATGCCGATGCACACGCAGTGGCTGGTGGAGACGCCGCTGCTCGACATGCTGCTGGAGCGCCTCGGCCCCGGCTGGCCGGGCGACGCAGTGACCAACGCGGCCGACATCCTCACGGCGATCGCGCACACGCAGCCGAGCGCGCTGTCGTCCAAACTGATGCAGCCGGTCAGCGTCGCGGCGCTGCTGCAGCGCGCGCTCGAGCCCGGCGGCAAGGTTTTGGTCCCGGCGCTGGAGGTCTGCGGCGCGCTGCTAGAGCCGCGCAACGGCGGGCCCGGCGCCGACGCGTACGCCGGCGCAGGCTCCGCCGCCGGCAGCAGCGGCGGCAGCAGCAGCGGCGACGCCCCCGGCAGCGGCGGCGGCGCGTCGGCGGCGGCGGCGGCGTTCTCGGCAGCAAAGCCGCGCGTCGACGCACTCAGCGCCATGCTCGTCTACCTGCCGCAGCTCGTCGCCTTCCTGGCCACGCCCGGGGACGCATCCGCAGTCCAGGAGACCACCTACGGCCTCCTGTCGCCGCCGCTGGGCCGCGCGCGGCTCAAGGTCCTCGAGCTGCTGGCGGTGCTGCTGCACGTGGGCGACGAGGGCGTGGAGGCGGCGCTCGTCGCGTCGGGGGCGCTGGCGCTCGCGATGGACCTCTTCGCGCGGTACCCCTTCAACAACTTGCTGCACCACCGCGTCTACCGCATGTTCCATGGGCTGCTGGTCCAGGGCGGCGCCCAGATCGTGCAGCACGCGCTCGCCACGTGCCGGCTCGCGGCGTGGCTCGCCGGCCTGCCGGCCGAGGTGGAGCCGGCGCCGCGGCCGGGCTTGGCGCCGCGCAGGGCGCCGCTGCGCGCGGGATACCTCGGGCACGTCACGCGGATAGGGAACCTGCTGTTGGAGGTGGCGGCGGCGCGGCAGCCCGTCTCCGACGCGCTCGCGGGCGACGAGGCCTGGGCCAGCTTTCTGTCGGGCGACCTGCAGCGGCGCAACGAGGTGGAGGACACGGGGTGCTGGGAGTGCGGGCGGCCGACGTGCGCGGAGATGGGGGACCTCGGCAGCGACGGCGACGAGTTCCAGGTGGGCGGCACGGACGGCTGTGCTGCGCAGGGGGATTGGGCAGGGGCAGCGCTCCCTCTTGACGTGTGCTGGTCTGCAGGGGCCTGCCTGCGGCAGCGTGGCGGCTCGCGCCGTGCCGTGGTGGCGTTGCGACGCTTATTATATTGCCTTCACCCCGTCACTGCCATCGGATGCCCCGCAACCGCCCCCCTCCAGCCGGACATGGACCTGGAGCAGATGCAGGGCATGCAGCCAACGCTCTACCACCGCTACGGCGTGCTGGACGATGACGGCGACGACGAGGAGGAGGAGGAAGCCCCGGGCACCTCTGCGGGCGCGTCGGAGGGCGCGGCGGCCGCGGGCTACGAGGGGGGCGGTGGTGACGCGCGTGCATATGGGACCATGCTGGCGGCAGCTATGCAGCATGTGGACCTCAGTGATAGTGGGGGCGGGGGCCTTGAGGGCGGGGGCGGCGGCGGCGGCGGCGGCGGCGAGGAGGAGGCGGATGAGGCGGTGGTGCTTGGGGAGGTGCGGGAGCGCGAGGTCGAGGCGCCCTCCAGCGGCGGGGCGGGGGCAGGGCAGGGCACCGGCAGCTGGAGCTTGCTGGCGCACCCAGGTGGGGTAATGAGGGCTTCAGCAGCCGGGGCTAGCTCCTTGCGTGTGTGTTTGTGGGAGGGACAAGGAGCATCCACGTAGCCTGCCGTGCTTTGCTTCGGGCAGGAAAACCATGTGTGTGGGGTTCAGCGCCCGATGCCACTGCGCACAGTATTTTTGCCACGCATGACTCCTAAATACGTGCATGTGCTGGTGAATGACTGTGCTACATCAACAAGGGGACCTCTTTTGCCGCCAGGCGGCTGCCAATCCGCATTGGCGGTCTTTTCCGCCCCAATATTCTCTGGCAGCACCCAAATCCCTCCTGCGGGTGGTCTCGCCCCTGCACCCCGGCGGTGCACCTGGGCGCCAGGACGGGCCGCACATGCACCACTTTCACGCCATTACGCACGCTCACGGCTGGCATGCTGCAGGCGCGTTGGGTTCGCCCGTGGCTGCTGATGTCAGCGGCGGGCGTAGCATGGAGGACGACGCAGTGCTGCTGACCACCAGCGACGACGAGGACGGCGCGTCGGCCAGCGGCAGCGAAAGCCCCGGCCGCAGCGAGGCGCCGCCTGGCAGCGCGCCGCTGCTTGTTGAGTCTGCAGCCAGCAGTGGCGGGAGCGAAAGCGTCGACGCCGTGGCGGCGTCGCCGCCCAGCGATGATTTGGTGCTGGTGGAGCCGCCCAGTGATGACGCTGGGGCTGCGGCGCCGGTAGAGGCGGGTGATACTGGAGCCGCAAGTGCCTCAGTAGAGGGCTCTGCAGCACGGCCAGTGACGGACACTGCAGCATGCCCGCTCGCAGCCTTGCAACCGCCGGCTGCTGGCGCAAACAGCGACGGGCAACACGCCATGAACGGCGGCGCAGAATTGGATGTTGGAGCGGCGCCTGCGGCTGTCGGTGTGGCCAGCGCAGCCGGCGGCAGCATTGGCGTGGGCAGCGAACCTGGCTTCAAAGAGCACGCTGCATGGGAGCGGGCCCCGTTGCCAGTGCAGGTGCCAGAACATGCGTGACGTCGGCACGTGCATACAACCGCATGACGGGGCGCTGAGATGCACCCGGAGCAAACCCTTGTGTGCTGTTGGCTGGAGGTCTTCAGGCCTCCGCTGTTGTGTGTGCGATCAGCGTCACATAGACCACGCTCTTAGCGTTGAGGTCACTGCTGACATTCTTCAAATCATGGCGGCATTCCTTCCGCGTGCCCCGCGGCCGCGCACATGTGAGGCGCTGCTCTCCACTTCTGTACACCATGCGCTCAACGCCACACGTGCATGGCCCATGCGCACCGCCTTCTGTTTTGTTACCACCAAGCGTTTCAACATGCCCATCGCATGCGTTTTGGCCAGCATGTGTGGACACGCCAGGAGTGGCCCAGCCTTCGAGGCATCATGATTAGACACTCATGCTTGCAGGTTTAGAAGTCCAGTCTATTCGTACAGCCTACGGTAGCATGCATGCAGCACGCTACCATGCTCAAGAGTCGGCGGCTGTTGATGCACACAGCGGCGCACTGTACCCTAGGGGTCGGGTTAGTGGTGCGCTGGTTGCCCATGCAGCGTCGTCGCAGTGCGTGCGTCGCAGTAGTGACAACCGTCCTGGCATACGTGTGTATGCTTCAAGGTCATGGATGTAAGCATACATTCGTTTTGCTTGAGAATGGTCAGAGCCGGGGGTCAATGATCATCCCGTCGCCCCCAGATCACAAATGACGAGGTGGCGGGAACGCTTGAATAGAAGTATTCAAGATTTATAAAAGTCGTTGCAACATGGACGACCGGGGCGGCGATCCGCGGGTCCGATTCATCAGGAGCACCGCGGAGATATGCTTGGGCGCGGACGGCTCGCTGTTCGATATATTGATCGCGGACCAAGGGCCTTATGGCCGGCTACGATCGTTTTTGGATGGAGGTGAGCCCTGCACCACCGTTGGACAGCTGCTGCGGCGCTGGAACCGAGTTGCACACCAGCCGCTTGTGCAAGCGTGAGTCGCCAAACAGCACTACTCTCCATCACGCAGGGGCCCCGGCTATGCTGCTGGTCCTGCATAATTTGCACGATGCGGCCGCAACGTCCAGGTGGGAGGTGGGCGTTATGAAGCGTTGTTGCCAGCTGACGACTGCTGCGTCCGCGATGGCACGAAGCAATACAGTACGTGACGCATGCACGGGTGCCAACACGCATGCGGCAAACAAAACACTCCTCCTCAGGCCGGCTATAAGCGCAGCAGCAAGTGGGCAGTCCGAAGCGTCCGCGGCTCCGGATGGTGCTGCGGAAGCGCAGGATCCCGGCACAGATGCTGATTTGGCATCAGACACACGAGATGGGGACCAGCAGCAGCAGCAGCTGCAGCAACAGCAAAGGCTTCAAGAGGGCAGCAGGGGCGGGTCCAACGACCAGGAGCCCTTCGGCGCAGACAAGGAGCGTCCACGCTCGGGTTCCGAGCAGGCCGCAGGTGCAGATGAGCAGCATGGTCATGCAGATGCTACCGGCAGCAGGATGGACTCCGATGGGGGCTCCGCGGCCGCAGCTCATGCACCCACTGACGTGCAGCTGTCGGGGCTCAGGCAGGAGCTGTTGCTGTTTCTGGAGCCCGTGCCTGAGCACCTGGCTGGCTGCAGGTGGGGTGTGGACCCGGAGTCATGCATGGCTGCATGTGTACTTGCCAACTCCGTCTGGCTCGCTGGCAGCAAAGCGCATATGCACAAACCCTGCTCACTCCCCCCTTGCGATGTCCGCTTACCCCCCATGCAGAACGTTCTACTGCTTGCATGGCAGCCCGGGGCCTGTTGACCCTGAGCACCCCGAGCAGCAGTTGGAATGTGGCGTCCTGGCTTCAGGGCCGTCCCTGCGCTCCTTGGAGCAGGTAAGTAGGGCCCCGCATGACCACGATGGAGGATATCTCTCCTACTGGGCTGTTCGTTTTGAACACCCAAGTACCAACTGCTGATATCGATGGTGAAGCATGCGTGGAATTGAACCGACACCTTATCCACGCTGCCCCTCCACCTGCCGCAACCCCACTGGGCACACCCCTCCCCCAGCTGCTGGCCGACGTGTACCTGCCACTCCTAGTGCAGCAGGCCGCCGACGACGCACGCGCCCCCGGCGGCGCCGCCGTGTCCGCGGCCGTGGCCGCCGCCCTCGGCGCCGTGGGTGGCGGCGGCGGCGGCCGCGAGCTGCTGGCGGCGATGCAGAAGTACCTGGGGCAGGTCAGCCAGGCGCTGCAGCACCTGCACGGGGACGTGGCTCTTGAGATTCCCGAGCTGCGCATCGCGGGGGTGCAGGCCGCGGCGGCCGAGCCGGACGTGGTCGAGGCGCTGGAGGAGGCGGCGGCCGGCTGGAGCGCGGCGCTGGCAGCCCTGATGCAGGCCGAGGGCGACAAGCGGCCCGGCGGCAAGGGGCCAATGGCGGAGGTCGAGTTCTGGCGCGCGCGCAGCGCGGTGCTGAGCGGCGTCAGCGAGCAGCTGGCGCTGCCGAGGGCGCAGGAGATGCTGGCGGTGCTGGAGGCGGGCAGCGAGGACCGGCAGCTGCTGGCGGCGCTGAAGGGGCAGATGGCTGAGCTGGAGAAGTTGGCCACAGAGGTGGGCGATGGGCCGGGCGCTGCCGGATCTGGAGCAAGATGTTTGGCGCTGAATGCGTGCTCGCATGTGTGGGCACCCATGTGTGGGCGTGCACGCGTGCGTGCATGCAAAGGAGCGTCTGTGCTTGCTTGCGCTTGATGTTGCTTGGATGCTCCGCCACCTGCCACCTGCTCCGCGCATGCGCAGACAGCAGCATCCAGTGCTGATGTGCATGGGCCGATTGTGCACCTGCACCCCTGCTGTCCAGGCGCGCGACAACGTCAAGTTTCTCAGCACCCTGGAGCGGCACTTCAAGGCCATCAGCTCGGGGCCGCTGCCGGCCATCGCCGACTGCCTGCTGCCGCTGATGAGCGCGCTGCGGATGGTCTGGATCATGTCGCGCCACTATGGTGTGCTTGACAGCTGCGGGGGCACGGCTGGGTGGAGGCAGCTCAACCCATTCTCGACGCACGGCAGTAGCACTGGACTGGTGGTCAAATCTATCCGTTGGTCTCAAGCATGCCTCTACCCCGTGTCTGATGGCCCCTGCCGTTTTACGCTGTGTTTCAGGGGATGACGAGCGGATGGGCGCTCTGCTGGGCCGCATCGGGCGCGAGATCGGCGACCGTGTGGAGGGCGCCATCGCGCTGCACGCGCTGTTCACCATGCCTGCCGCGGAGGCCGGGGAGCTGCTGCGAACCAGCAAGGCGCTGCTGGAGCAATGGCACTCCACCTACATGCAGGTGAGCAGGGGTGAAGCTGCGCGAGGTGGACGCTCTTGGCTGCATGTCAGCAGGCTGTAACTGCACGCGTGACAACACACATGCAAGCACATATACCCAACAATTGAGCGCACATACACACGTTGCAAAAGCACACACACACACACACACACACACACACACACACACACACACACACACACACACACACACACACACACACACACACACAC